ACTCAGTTTAGGCTAGAGTCTCCAACTTGATTCTCTTTCAGGGTTTTCCTGACTCCTGCCACCCTTGGGTCTAAGGTGGGTAGTGGGCTGTTCCCCCAGACTTACCTGCGTTAGTCATTGCAAGGAGACCCACACAAAGAACCAAGATGTGATGGAGAGATGCCATTATCCTGGGGGACACCAAGGGTGAGAAAATGTATACTCTCATCCAGCCACCCATCCACCGTTGTTGCCTGACTCCAAAGGATTAAGTCAGAGACAGTTGAGACTTAATTCCAAAAGCTTTGCCATCCACCCTGAGTAACAAGGGCACCCCCTCTTTCATGGGATGCAATGTCACCAAATCGACCCACACAATGGGGTCACATGGCAGCAGGAATAGGGGTGAGATACACACAGCCCACAGGGGACTCTTGCAGGCCTGGGCCTCCCCACAGAAGGCCACAGATTCCCCACACCAACTCCAGTGGAGAGCAGGAGATTTCACCCTACCCACATGGACAGACAGATTCACTACAAGGGACAAGAGAGGCAGGACACACTCAAGGGCCCATCTGCCCACATACCATGGCCTCGGTGTGTCTGAAATATCCCAGCTCTCCTACTCTGGCTGCTGACAGCCACTCTGCCTAACCCTGGGTATAAATATCTCCCACTTCACTCTGGAGGAATTTGCCTCGCACAGGCCACCATGGCAACAGCCTTCCTTCCTCTCCTCAGGGTCACGGATAACCCTGCTGGGGAAAAGGCCACCCCTTCTCCTCTTCTGGAAACAATGACAAGAGGGAAAAATATTCCCTCCACCCACCCCTGGGTGACATCTTTCACAATCGGACAGCACCAGGCAAGTGACATGAAATAAAAGACAGTTGCCAGGGACAAGGACATACACATGCACACATGTGCGCATGCTCACACACACACAAATACACAGTGGGGCTGAAATGGAGCCTGTTCCCCACTTATGATTAGAGTAGGACACGGGGTAGAGATGCAGTCAGGCACACATTACTGCCCAACTAGGCCTCCAGTGTCCCCAGTGACATAACATGTGACTGTCCACAACCCACACCCAGCCATGGGGCAGCAGCAGGGAAGAGAGAAGTTACACCCACACTCCCACCCCTTGGGAAACCCCAATGTCTCCACCATACTCCCTTCCTCTTGGGTCCGGCCTGCCTGGGAAGACAGGGCTTGCCTCTCCTGCTCCCAAAATAGGCTGCCCAGCCAGACGGAGGGTGAGGTTGAGAGGGGAGGGGTGGGGGATGCTCACCCCAATCAGGCTGTCCCCTGATGGAAGCAGGCCTCCAAGTCCGGCTGTGACTGGGAGAGCACTTTGGACCCCCTGGCCTAGAGCTGGATGCACCGCCCCTAGCGGTCTTCCCTCCCAGCCCCACCCCAGCCATGCCCTCCCCAACCAGCAGCTGTAACTGGAGCTGGTGCTGGAGGGGGGCCAGGGGGCGGCCCCCAGCCCAGACCGCCCTGGCCTGCTAGGTTAACTCTCTCCGCTCAGCTAGAGGAACAGTAAATAGCCACATGGGAAAAGCTGGAAAAAAGAGGTGCTGGCAAAGACGACTGAATTGCATACACGTGCACACACATACACGAGCATGCACATGCCTTGGGCCCGCCTCAGAGAGCTTCTAAGCTGAGCTAGGAGGTGTCAGTGATATTCTGTGCTGCTCCCTGGAAGCTGAGTTCAGGCTGGGCCTAAGCACACCTAGACTGATGAGTGTTGAGGAGCCCACTGACTCCTGACCCCACTGTTCTTCAGAGCACTGGTCAGCAAGCACCACAAGGCTGTTTGGGACACATTTTAGTGTGTGTATGTGTTGTCCACTGCTCACTGTGAAGTCCCTCAAGAATGTGTGCACACACATACAGACCCAGGTAAATAGGCAAAAAAGCATACAAATACATGTATGTATATATACATACAAACACAGAGGCAGACAAACACACAGAATAACACAGAGAGAAACCCAAAGACACACACACAGCCAGCACCGCTTACACCAGTCACCAAAAAAGCCAAAACAAACTCATTTGTGTACCTAAACAACATACACTCATATTCATTCAGATGGATACTTGAACAGAGGCACAATCAAAGGCATAGCCATGCAACTATCCCCCCCTTACAAATGGTCACAAAGATACATACTCTTATGAAGATATCCTTACAAATGGTGGTACAGAAACACACCAATGCACACATGCCACACATAAATGCACTCACAAATATGGGCATACGGGCACACAGCTGGCACTTCTATACAAGCTCAGAGACGTAAAAGCCCACAAGCCTGTGTACACATGCACTAACACACACATATTTACACGGCACAGAGAAGCAGAAACTCTGTCAAGGACACAGCAGGTCACACACATCTGTGATCACAGCCTCATGCATGGGCAAACAAGCACACAGCTGGCCACACAATAAAAGACATACAGGCCTACACACTTTTGTTTGCACATTGACAACATCAAACATGAGTTGATGTGTTTGACCCTGAACTTCTCCTTCCCTGAGCTCATGTGACCTCTAGGACCACCTGGAGGACAGCACAACTTATGTCCTCATGGGCAGGCCAGGTCAGAAAGCACTGGTGACAGAGAAGTCTGTCAGGACACAACCAGGACTCTGCCATTTCTGGTTGCGTGAATGTGAGCAGTCCATTTGTTCACTCTGTGCCTCAGTTTCCCTTCCTATAAAATGGAGAAATAGCTGAGATCATACATGTAACCCCAGGCCAGGCTCAGACTGGACATTGTTTTATTATTAATTCCATTTTAGGAAAGAGCAAGCCTAGGCTGAGCAAAGTGGAGCTCATTTTCCCAGGGTTCCCCTGGTGGTTAAGGGGTGGTTAACTGCCCCCCTTTCAGTCAAAGAGGTCAGAAGCAGGCCCAGACCTCAGGCTCCAGAGGACACAGTGCACATGCTGACATTAAGGCACAGGCGTAGCCCTGGCAAACACATACATGTGTGCACATGGCCTCAGAGGACCCAAGAGGCTTTGAAAGGCTCCCTCATCCCTGTGTGCCTGAGCCCTCAGTCTCTGCCCCAACCCCACTCCCGCCCCCAGGCCTGCACCCCAAGGTCACCAGCAGTCCCTGGTTAATAATAAGTCTGATGTTTATGTTGCACTGGGGATGGGTGACAAGGAGAAAAGAGGTGAGTGAGGAAGGGACACCTAGCCAGCTCCAGTTAAGCCTCGACTTTCTCCCTTCATAGAACCAGCTGCTTCAGAGTACAGTGGTTCAGCCACTTTCTAGTGGTTTGATGTTGGGCAAATGACTTAACCTCTCTGTGGTTCAGGTTCTTCTTCTGTAAAATGAAATAATAATAGTATTCACCTTACAGAAAGGTTGGAGTAATTATCTGAAATGATCTATGTAAATCATTTAGAAGAAAGCCTTGCACACAGGAAGTGACTATCATTATCATCCTTGTCATCCTTCTCATTATAACCTTGGGTGAGAGCCTTGCCGGGCTGGGCATACTGTGTGGTTTAGGCCTATCTGTCCCCTCTGTGCCCTGGCACTGAGTTATTTATGTTTTCAAAAACCCTGAAAGGAGCTCATTATCCCTCATTTATAGCTGAGGTAACCAAGACCTGAGAGCCTTGCTCAAATCACAGAGCTGTTTAGATGCAGGCATGTGCTTGGGCCCAGAGTGCACCCCAAGCCCACTGACCTCTGTGGGTTGCCCACCCTGCCCTGCATCAAGCTGGGAGCGTGGCCTCCATCATCTCACTGAATGTTTGACACATGTGGGAAATGGGTGTCATAACTGCCCCATTTGACAGAAGAAGATCAGGAAGGCTGAATGATTTGCCTAAATCCACACAGAACTGGGCCTGGAACCAAAACCTTTGTGACCTGGCCTGAACTTTTAGCTCTTTGTTCCCGAGTTTTTTGGATGTGTGCAGCAGAAGGAAAGAGATTGTGCATCTTACTTAATGGCAGGGGTGAGTGGTTAGGTTTAGATTTGTCCAGTGCCATGAAATATTATTTAAATTCCTCATGCCTCAGTTTCCCCATCTATGAAGTGGGAATTAGTAATACTATGCATCTCATGAGGCTGTTGTGAAGTCTGAGTGAATTCCTTTAGAGACAGGCACCCAGTAAGCATTATTACTACTACTGGGGGTTCGGTAACAAGTGCCATTTATTTGTTTTTCTTATTTAATGGACAAAATCTATCCAAATTGCTAAAAGCTTAGTCCAAATAAAAACAGCCAGTATCCATGAGTCCTTATTTCTAAAAAAAATAATGCAAAATCATGTGCAGAGGCCCTGGACCTGGTGCTTCGGCTCCAGCCTTGGCTCTGTCCTTTCTGGGTATTCTAAACCTCAAATTACCTGACTTCTCTCTTCAGTATGTCCCTCTGTAAAATAGCCATAAAATAGTATCAACCCCAGAAGGCTGTGGAGGGGTCAGAGGAGCTAATAGATTGCCCTTCAGGACAGGGGCTGGTGCAGAGTCAATGCTGTAGAAGGGGGTGGCATATCATCATTTTTTTCTTGGGTTGACTCTACCCCCAGTAGGCAGTGGGCACTCAAGGGGTTAATTTTGAACTGGGAAGAGAGGTGAGTTTGGGGCAGGGTAGCGCTGCCGAGTATGGCCACCAGAGGGAGCAGCTGGACCTGAGACGGCCCCTCCAAGCCTGTTTGACAGCGCCACCAACAGGGTCCTGCTGCCCCGGGTGAGGGCTGTCTGGGAGTAGCTAAGGTGACTCCAGACCCCGCAGTGGTCTCCCCTCCCAGCCCTTTCCTGACTACAGAGCCATCTGATCCCCACCCTGGGGACATCCTCCTCACTCCCTGAACGGGGAATCTGGGTAGGGGGTTAGAAGGGAGTGGCCAGGGCAGCTTCAGCCTTTGGTGACTCCTCCCCTCCCATGGGGCCATCCAGTCCCTTCCCCAGCAATGCTCTTCCTATGGCCTCTGAACCCCCTCCTCATTCTTACCCAGCTTTTTGGGCACACCCGGTGCTCATTGAGTCTCTTTCCCAAACCTCTAGGGAGAAGGGATGTGGGAGGAGGGGCAGAAACATACAGAGAGCTGGAAAGGGGGGTTGGGAGACAAGAAATAAAGACAGAAGGAGACACACACCACAGAGAGGCCGACAGACTGAGAGACAAACAGAGAAACAGAGACAGAAAAAGAGACAAAGGCAGAAATAGAGACAGAGTGGGAAATAGACTAACTCACTGAGTAAGAAATAGAGAGGGAGAGAGAGAGAACAAGGAAAGAGATATAAACAGAAAATTAGACTCCAAAGAGATACAGGGAGAAAGACAGACTGAAAGAAAGAACAGAAAGAGAAGCGAGAAGCCAGGGCAGAGTGTGCCAGCTGGCGGAATGGAGGATTCCCTGGCATGGGAGATGTAGTGGTTGAAGTCTGGGCAGAACTGGGTGGGCAGGAAGAAGCTGGTGCCTCAGTGGGGGTAAGGGGGAATGGGAGGGGCAGGCATTTTGCTGCTGCTGCTGTTGCTGCTGCCTGAGGTCAGGATGGGGGTGTCCTGGAGACCCCCAAAGGGAAAATGTCCTCTGAGCTGCTCCTGCTCCAAAGACAGTGCCCTCTGTGAAGGCTCCCCGGACCTGCCCGAGAACTTCTCCCCGACCCTGCTGTCACTGTGAGTGCTAGGCCTTTTGGGGGCCTAAAGGTGGGGATGGGAGTTCTGGGACCTCAGGGTTTAGGGACATGGGGCCAAGAAGGTGTCTGTCAGGATCTTGGAAGGTGGGCAGCAAAGGATGTTGGGATGCCCAAAAGGGGACATTTGAAAGGGAGCAGAAGGAAAATTCCAAAGGGCAGCAGCAGCATTAGGGGGCTAGGAGAAGGGATTGCCAGGGGGTGGGCTGGGTGCCATCAGGATCCTTGCCAAGTGAGGCGGGCAAATGTCTGTCTCCCCAGGATATAGAGAAAATACATCCAGGGCCAGGGTGGCATGCCAGGGTCCCTCAGACAGGGGACAGTTCTGGGATGACACTGGAGCATTGAAGTGGTTTTTTTCCTCACCCACCACTGCCCATGTCACCAGCTCACTTGTTAGGACTGGAGCTACCCAGGTGAAGACCGGCAGCTTCCTGAGAGTGCCATCACTGCACTTGCTGTGAGTGGGGCCCAGCAGAGCCAACAACGAGCTCTAGGGAGTGGGCGTTCATGCACATACGTGTGGGGCTGGATGTGCACATATGTGTATGTCTGTGAAAGCATTTGTATACACACATTTACTCACATCAAATGCATGCATGTGTGTGTGGGGGGGTGAGACCGTGCCCAGGTGAGATGAGGGTGGGGGCCAATTTAAAATGTCAGATAGGGGGAAGCAACTCTCGAAAATTTTCTTTTTTGCTCCCTCACCAGCCTCCTCACATTCAACTCCTTCTCCGTGATTGAGGATGATGCATTCGCGGGCCTGTCCCATCTGCAGTATCTGTGAGTGAGGACACAGGATGGGGCCAGACTGGGGACCTGAGAGAGGAAGGAGGGGCCCCTCTGTGGCTCCCAAAATAAGGGGACGTAGGGGCTTGTTGCCCCGGGGAGGAAGTGTCTGGACAAGGGTCAATCCCTCCTTGAGAGCCAAGGGGCCTAGACTCTTGGGTGGGGTCAGGGCTCCTGCTCAACTGTGTAATCTCAGCCTGCTCCTCTCACTGCTCTCTGCTTGAAGACCCACAAAGGGCCTGGATAACCTGAGACTGTTTCTGGCCCTGCCTGACTTACAGAAGTCCAGGGAGGGTGCAAAGAGGCCAGAGACAGAAAATGTTTCAAATTAACAGGAAATAACTGAGTTAGTGTGGTGGTGACGATAGTATGACCATGTTGGTGATGGTGTTGATGTTGGTGTTGAAGAGGATGGTGATAAAGATGGCCCTGCTGCTGCTGCTGCTGCTGCTGCTGCTGCTGCTGCTGCTGCTGCTCACAAGGAAGTGGGGACACTACTGAGAATAATGGAGGGGGGACGATGTTAATAAGAATGGCAGGCCCAACAGTGACGGAGCTGTTGGTGACACTGATGATGAAGTCCGAGGGATTGGTGGCGGTGGTAATTATCACTATCACCCTACACTACACTACACAGTGGTAGTGTAGTATTTTTTGGTAATTCTAGTGTCAGTATCAGTGTTGGTGAGCATGATGGCTGTGTGTAGGGTGTTAGTGTTGGTGTAAGGAAGATATTGTTGGTACTAGGTTTGGTGGTGACGGTGGAAGTGTTGGTGTGGATACGAACTGTGGCAGTAGTGGTGCTGGGGGGGTGAAGAGGGGAGTGTTGGGGACAATGCTGATGTTGTTGGTGTTGGCAATGCTGCTGCTAGTGCTGGTGCTTGTGATTGTGGTGGCAGTGCTGATGATGATGGCAGCAGCCATTTCAGTAATGATCATGAAGGCTGTGTTGTTGATGAAGCTGTTAGTGTTGCTGGTGCCAGGTTGGTAATGATTGCCTTGGTGCTGGTGTTGATGGTGGGAGTGGGTGGTAATGCTGGTGTCGGTGAGGAGGGTGGCAGTGTTGGTGATGGTGGTGGCACAGTGTGGTGTTGGTGATAATGGCACTTATTAGTGCTGGGGTTGATGGCAATGGCAGAAGCATGGGTGTTGGTCATAATGGATCATGGTGGAAGTGCTGGTGGTGAGATCGGTGCTAGTGCTGGTATTGGTGAGCACAGTGGCACATGGCTGGTGATGGTGGGGGTGGCATTCATCGTGAGACTGGCAGTGGCCACAGGGTCAGGCTCTTGGCTGCTAGGATTGTAGACTGGGACCTCAGTGAGAAGTTTTGGGGGAGGCTTCCCCTGAGATTATGCCAAGTGTAAGGGGAGAATTCAGCACATTCAAGTGGCCTATGGCTTCCATGGGGTGAGTTCCCCTAAAAACTGTGGGACCACAACAAGAAAATTCCCCTCACCCCACCTTCCCTCCACAGCTTCATCGAGGACAATGAGATTGGCTCCATCTCTAAGAATGCTCTCAGAGGACTTCGCTCACTCTCACATCTGTATGTGCCTTCTAGGCCTCACTCCTCCATTGCCCCAGCCCACCCTGACACACACCCCACACTCCACCATCCAGACCCAGCGTGTCCCAGTAGCTGCTGACAGTCCCTCCTCTTTCTCTCCTTCCACCAGGAGCCTGGCCAATAACCACCTCGAGACCCTCCCCAGATTCCTGTTCCGAGGCCTGGAGACCCTGACTCATGTGTGAGGCTCAAGGAAACTGGGTGCGGGTGGTGTGAATGTTTGAGAAGGGAGGGGATATCTGTGGCCACTTTGGGTGGGCACAATGTGTACAGCGGGACTGGTTCATATTTTTCACACCACCTGTGGGGTTCCATCCTGAACTCTTGCCTGGGGAGGGGGTGGGGAGCATGGCTTCCAAGGGGTGGAAGCCGGGTGGCAGCCCCTCCCTGGCTCTTGCCCCAGGGACCTCCGTGGGAACCCGTTCCAGTGTGACTGCCGTGTCCTCTGGCTGCTGCAGTGGATGCCCAGCGTGAACGCCAGCGTGGGGACCGGAGCCTGCGCCGGCCCCACCACCCTGGCCCACATGCAGCTCCGCCACCTCGACCCCAAGATGTTCAAGTGCAGAGCCATAGGTGGGGGTTTTCCCTGTGGGGTGGGAGGGGGACCACAGGGATTCCCAGAAGAAGGTGGACAGTGGCCAGGGTGGACAGATCAGGGGGACAGTGGCCAGGGCTGAGGGTTCACCTCACTTCCTGCTTCCTGCCATTTCTTGGCTGTGAGCCTCTGAGGGAACAGCATCACAACCCTGAGCCTCAGTTTCTCTCTGTAAAATGGAAGTAATAAACAGTGACACAGGATTGCTTTGAGAATTCAGTGACGTGTCCACAAGTGCAGAGCAGTTGGCACAGGGCCTGGGATGGGAGGCCCTTATAAATGTTCATTCTTGTTGTTGCTGTTATTAATATAAAAATGGCCATTCTAAAGTGCGTCCTATGATCATTTCACATTTTCATAAATTTATTTTCGTACTGTTATGGGTACTGGACAATGCAGAGGGCATAGCAGTGATGAAGAAAGTCCTGGGTCTAGTCCCCACAGAACCCACAGTCCAGAGGAAAGCAGAGATTGATAGCTCAGAATGACCTGGGCCAGGCTGGGGGTGGCACAGAGTGGTCGGGGCTGGGAGGTGGTGAGCCTGCAGGGCTGTGGGAGCCAAGAGCCAGAATGAGGGCCAGCCACTCCTGAAGAAGTGAACATTTGAGTTCAAATTTGAAGGCTATTAATATAATAATAGCTATTATTATATTCACCATCATCTAAGTGTGACATATTTTAGGTCCGTGGGACTCATAGAACAAGAGTATTTAACTTAAGTGTCATTCTTTATTAAGTTATTCAGCAAATATTCACCAAGGTTCACTCTGTGCCCAGCCCAGTGAGAGGCAATGGGCACACTGGGGTGACCAAGATAGCCCTGGGCCCTGGCCTCAGAGTGCTGGCGGGGGGAGATAGACATTAAATAAAACATTGCATGAATAAATGTATGCTACATGTTGTGGTAAACACAGGGAGTGATGGGGAAGTTCAGGGGGGTTCCTACCTTACATGGGGTGTCTGGGAAGTCTTCTCTGAAGAGATGGCATTAGATCTGGAGGCAGCTGAGTGAAGTACAATGGGAAGGGCATTGCAGAGAGAGGGAATTGATGTGCCATGGTCCTGAGGCAGCGTAGAGTTGTCATGCTTGAGGATCAGAAGAAGGCAGGTTTGGCTTGGGGGAGTGAGTGAAGGCAACGACACAAGGGAGGTGAAGGGTGCAGGAGCCTCACTGTACAGGACATTGAAAGCAACAGAAAAGAGAATGGATTTCCCCCTGAAGGTTGTGGGAAGCTGTGGTGTGTTTTGAGCAGGGAGTGATAATTTGATGGACATTTTAAAAGGCCCCTCTTTGGGTGGGAATCCTTGGCAGTTTGGATCATTGCTTCAACTCTGGCACCTAGAAACAGGGTCTGGCACATAGAGTGACGTAGTATGACCTGGCACGAACTGCTTAGCTCTACCACCATGATACTGGGTGACCTGGGTACATTGTTACCACAAACATTAAGGTGTAACAAAGAGATTCAAAATGCCATCAGTTAAAGAAGACAAAGGGTCTGAGCTATGCACTCCAGGCAGGTGGAGCAGCCCCTGGGTGTTGTCCTGGTTTTCAAGGTTGACACCAACTTGTGGCAGGTCCATCTACCAGTTCTTGGGGAGAAGGGAAGGAGACCAAGTCTGGGATGAGCCCCCTTCATGCACTTGAGGCAGGCTTTACACCCACCACTCTGCTGCTGTTCCATTGGGACCTTGGTCTGGACATGGTCACACCTAACGTTGGGAGGGGGTTGCTGGGGGACTGCTGGGATAACGTGGCCTCTGGCTGGGCAGATTCATGCCCAGCTACAATCCTATTTCATGGAAGATGGGGAGGATGGACTTTGCTGGACAATTGGCCACTTATGTCTCTTAGCTTTAGTTTGCACATCTGTAAAGTGGATGGAATAACAGAATCTACCTCACAGAGATTTTGTAAAGTTAAATGAATTGATAAACATGTTTCTAAGCAAGTATTTGATAATGCCACAAAGCTTAAAAAATAAAGCATTATCATGTTGGTTTGAGTTAATACAGCTATAAATTAAAAAGATTCCTCTCTGTGTCCCTATGAGATGAACACCGTGATGGTCCTCATTTCAGAGATGCCCAGACCGAGGCCCAGCATTGAGGTCCCTTGGGATCCCCTGGGCCTACCTGACTCTCTCCTGCCACCCCCAGAGTTGTCCCAGTTCCAGACAGTTGGAGAGTCGGCGCTGGGTGTGGAGCCTTTCTCATACCAGGGGGAACCCCACGTCGTCCTGGCACAGCCCTTTGCTGGCCGCTGCCTGATCCTCACCTGGGACTACAGCCTGCAGTGCTTCCGGGCGGAGGAAGAGCTGTCCGGTGAGCACCCCTCCCATGTTCCTGCCTGCTTAGTAGCCTGCCTCAGGCCTGCCCTGCCCAGCTGGCCTGACCTGCCTCTCGCTCTGTGACTCCCCAACAGCGCCCTCGGTGGTATCCTGTAAGCCTCTGGTGTTGGGCCTGCGCCTCTTTGTGCTGGCTGCCCGCCTGTGGGGAGGTTCGCAGCTGTGGTCCCGGCCCAGCCCTGGACTGCGCCTGGCCCCCACTCAGGCCCTTGCCCCGAAGCGGCTGCTGCGGCCCAATGATGCCGAGCTCCTGTGGCTAGATGGGCAGCCCTGCTTCCTGGTGGTCGATGCCTCCAAGGCAGGCAGCACCACACTGCTGTGCCGAGACGGGCCTGGCTTTTACCCACGCCAGAGCCTCCATGCCTGGCACCGGGACACAGATGCTGAGGTCCTCGAGCTGGATGGCCGGCCTCATCTGCTGTTGGCCTCAGCCTCACAGCGGCCGGTGCTCTTCCACTGGCTTGGGGGCCGCTTCGAAAGGCGCACGGACATCCCTGAGGCTGAGGATGTCTATGCTACGCGCCACTTCCAGGCCAATAGGGATGTGTTCCTGTGCCTCACACGCTACATTGGGGACTCCATGGTAAGCCTGGACCCAACCAGGTAGGAGGGGCAGCAGAGGCCACAAGCCACTCCTGACCTACAGCTGACTCCTACTCAAGGGCTGCCTTTTTAGCACCGACCACCCAAAGTTCAGCATTGACTCCCACTTGCACATTGGCTTCTAAACTCTGACCCAGGCTTACAGGCTGATCTTCAAACTCCGACCCCATCTAATGTGCTGATCCATGAGCCTGACCCTACCCCAACACTGACTTCAAGGCTGACCCCTCAAGGACTGTGAACCCTAGACTACTCCCCATTCCCCAACATAGACACTGGCCTGAGGTTCTGATTCTACTTCCAAACTATGGCTCTGTAACTCTGACTCACTGCATTTGACCACAACACCACTCTGAATCCCCAAGGCTGATGTCCCCCAGCACTCTTTTCAGAGTAAGATATAGCCAGGGGGAGAGTCCGAGCCTAGAAGGCACTGATCTGACTCAGATGTCCATAGAGTGTCGGTGTGGGGAGCAGACTGTGGGCACAGGGACAGGAATAGTGTAACCAGGGAAGAAGTGACTACAGCTGGGTTGGAGAGCAACCAGAGGAGATTGGAGCAATATATACCATAGTAGGTAAAACCGACAGATTTCCATTACTGATGAATTCTACGTCAGATGTGTGTGGGAGACAGAAAGGGCCAAGAATGTGGCCTGAGTAGCTTGGTGGAGACATCTATAAAGAAAAGAAAGCTGCAGGAGTTTGGGGAAACTACAGGCCTGTTTATAAGCAGTTTCCAAGTTCCCCAAAGCCTAGAACACTACCAGCAGGCCTGGCCATCCTGGATCCCAGGCCCTAACTTGCCACCACACTTCACAGGTCATGCGCTGGGATGGCTCCATGTTTCGCCTGCTACAGCAACTTCCATCACGCGGTGCCCATGTCTTCCAGCCACTGCTCATCGCCAAGGACCAGCTGGCCATCCTGGGCAGCGACTTTGCCTTCAGCCAGGTCTTCCACCTTGATCCTGACAAGGGGCTCCTGGAACCTTTGCAGGAGCTGGGGCCCCCGGCTTTGGTGGCCCCCCGGGGCTTTGCCCACATCACTCTGGCTGGCAGACACTTCCTCTTTGCTGCTTGCTTCAAGGGCCCCACGCAGATCTACCAGCTTCATGAATTAGATCTCAGTGCCTGACACTGGATGGGACCCTGGACATGGCTGGTGAAGGGGTTGGTGTGGGAAATCTTAGGCCTCTGAGCAGCCTCTTGATTGACCTCCTGGCCCCACATAGGATTATGGCTGGTCTCGAGAAATACTGGCCACAGGCCAAGTTCAAGGCAAGAGCTGTCCTTCCAGTCTAAAGCAACAGCTTTGCTGTGTTGCAAATAACCGCCCCCCCCACCCACCAAGGGTGATCTGGGAGCTCAGGCTGGAGCATGCAGCATCATGGTGGGGGTAATGTGCAGAACTCCATGAGGTCTAGAAGCCCCCCTTACCGTCAAACCACCCTTCCCATTCCCTGTTAAAGCACTCAGGAGGAGATAACTTTCCTCTCAATCTGGCCAATCGCTTTTAGTGCACGCCCCCATGACGTCATCAGTTGCTGGGCAGGTTTCCCTGCTGGGCTTGCTAACTTCCTTTGCTGCTTGTGCGCATGCCTGCTGCTAAGGAGGAAACCCAGCTTGTTTTCCTCTTGTTCGAGGAGGGGAATGGGAGGGAAAGTGGAAGTTATTATGGGGAGACCCGGGTACCCCTTTCCGGTGGGTGCCAGGGGTGAAGGCAGAAGGTTTCTGAAATCAATAAATGCGCTGGGCACCCGCGCCACTCGTTGTTGTGGGATCATTGGGAGAGTGTATGCTGGGTGACATGGGTGGAGGGCAGTGTCCCAGGAGCAGTGTTACGGAGGGTGTGGTTCCTGAAGTGAGCCTCTGGAGTTGTCTAAGGAGTGTGCGTTCGTGATTATGGGGGTACTTATGGTATATTCGAGGGATATAAGGGCATTATCAGGGGACAGGTCACAAGTTTACTGTGGGTCTCTTCTTGGGGTCTCTTTTTGAGTGTTTTGAAGGGTTTTAGACATTTTAAAAAGTGGCTCTTGGGGAGATTTGGAGGTCTTACTGGGTTTTGGGGAGTCTCAAGGGAGTTTGAGGCTCATTGGAGATTCTCACACTATATGGCCATCATCCCATATTATGAGGGTTATCATGGACAATTATTTAAAGGTCCCTTAGGGACATTTGGGTATTAGGAAGGGTCTTCAGTAATAAAGTGGAGTCTCAGAGGTGAGTGGCAGGGTTATAGAGGTCTTACTATTATAAGCTAGCTGTGTACTCATGTCACAGCATGAACTACCGTGACATGAGTACCCAGTGTCCACCTGAATGTGCCGGCACTTATTCTGGTTACAGCTCCCTTTCACTCTCACAATGTCCCCTATTTGACTACTAGAAAATTTTCAATTGCACCCGTGGCTCTCCAGACCATGGAGGCAGAGGAAAAAGCCCATGCCGTTCACCAGGTCATGAGGGAATAGGCCTTTGGGCTTTTCATAACAGAGAGATTCAGCACCAGCTTCGGTGGTGGCCTCCAGTGCATATCCACCCTCTGCCCCCCACCCCAAGTCCTACTCCAAAGCACACATAGGGAGTCTCAAGACTGCTTGGGTAAGAGGAAGATCATTTTAAATTAAAAATTTAATGAAGAGACCCCTCCACAGAGAAGTGAGATGAGGCCTGGCAAGGCTTTCTGAGAAGAGGAGGGAGGATTCCATCCTGGAGTGAGTTTCCTGTGCAGAATCAGGACATAGGGAAAGAGAGAGGCCCTCTGTGCTCTTTCGTGGATCAGTCCTTAACAGTTGTGGGCAGAGCCTGGGAGAGGTGATGGGGTCAGCTTGTGAGAATGGATGGAGATCTTCCTCCCCAGTGCACCTGCACACACACACACCTCACATCCCATGTTCCCCTCAGCCCCATCTGTCCCTGTCTTACCTGGAGTGATAAGAGGTGGGGTGTCCCCAGGTCAGTGGCTGAGAAAAGAAAAGTGGTAAGATTTATATTCTCCATTTGTCCTCTCCCTCAAGACTAGAAGATTCTCAGCTTTCCTTAACCTAGCTTCTGGACTATTTTTCCATCATAGGGTTGTACCACCCTGGGGTCCAAAGCATTTCAAGATTTGGGGCCCTCTGAGGGTTTCCAGCTCTGAAGAATAAACCTAGGAAGTTTTAGTGGCAGGAATTCTCCAGGGAAGAGCCTGGAGACCTGGTCTCTTTCTGTAAGATTTCTCTCTTTCACCCATGAAAAGTGTCTGTCCAGAATGAGACAGGAAGGCACACACAGGGAACCAATCTCACCTGGGCTTCTGGTTGAACTTGCATTTGCATTTCCCACCTGTTGGGGAGAGAGGAACAGTCAAGAGAGGGGACCCATGGCACTTCCCTGCCCCACTCCCCTGCCTGTTCCTCCACTCACTCATGAGGAAGATGATGCCGATGGCACACAGAATCCCAGCACAGATGAGCCCGCCGACCTGGAGGCTCTGCCAGTCTAGGAGAAACCCAGAGAGGGCCCTCAATGCCAGCTGGTGTCCTCTCTATTCAAGCCCCTATCCACTTAACAAAGATATATTGGGCACATATGATACGCTGGGGATATAGCAGTGCAGACAACAAACCCCAGCCCTCCTTTGCTCACATTTAGTTAACACACAAGCAAGTGAGCAAGTGATAAGAGATTTAATGTAGGATCAGGTGGAAATGAAGACAAATAAGCAGAGCCAGGGAACAGAAAGTCAGATGGCAACTCTTTTAGGGAGAACAGACAGGAAAGGGCGATCTAAGGGGCCCCACATGAGCAGAGACATAGGGAGGAGGTGAGGAAGGGAGGCATGGGGCTTGTGTAAGGAAATATTTCAGACAGAGGGATCAGGAGATATGAAAGTCCAGAGGCTGGGAGTGTGTCCACTGAGTCACAGCAACAGCAGAGAGGTCGTTGTGGCCTGAGCAGAAGCAGTGAGGTGGGGAAGAGGGAGTAATGACAGAGGGGTGGCCTAGAGCAGATTGTGGGGAATCTGGAGGCCACAGAAAGATTTGGATCAAATAGCTCAGCTCCTCCAGAAAGTTTTCTCAAGTCAGCACTTCTCCCAGAAGACTTGATTTAAACCATGACAACACCATCTTATGAACTGTCCTTTGATTCTTGTAAACCGTTCTTGCTGGATAGTCATGAATCTTCCCAAGGACTAGGGTGGCATGTCTTGTTCCCTTAACTCACTCTGTTTACTGGTCAATGCTTCAGTCCAGTCTGATTCTTGCCCCCTTTTCACCCACATCAGACCCTCATCCAGCTCTCTGTGGGACCTTTGGTACAAAATAGTATGAGGGGTGAGGGTAGGAGGAGCAAAGGGAGGGGCACCAGCTCTTACCATAGTAAAAAGGACTGTTTTTATCTGAAAGGAAAGAAAAAAGAACATGAATCCAGGAAAACAGCTGGGATGCAGGGGTCTCAGGAGAGAATTTTGAGATGGAACTGGTAGAAGAGTATAGTCTGACTCACCTTCTGGGTCGTTGGCCTCCAGTGCAGGCAGGCCTGGTGGGAGAATTGGGGAAGGAGAGGAGATGGCGGTGCTGGCCTCAGTGAAACTGGCAGGTAGGTCCATAGGGCCTCAGGGATAAGGTCCCCAGATGGACAGTTCCCTGCCTCCTGAGGATGCAGGGGTCCGGCCCTAAGCCAGCTGCCCCAACATGTCCCATCTCAAAGTGCGGACCCTCCCTCCACTCAGCCCCACACCTGAGAGCCATGCCAGCATTTTGCCTCCTGAAATAGGTATTAATATGGTGGCTTTAGGCCACCCTTTGGCTGAATGTTTCCAAACACCTGGCTAACCCATACCTCCTCCAGAAATAAAGTGTTCTTGTCCACATGACAGGTGGTATTGGTGCCCAGTTGTCCTCAGAGCTCATCTCCTTGTTCTGTGTGTTCTGGCATTGGCTCACCACTTGCCTTTAAAGCCACTTACTAATTATAAACTAAATAGACTTTATTTTAAAATACATTGTTCTATCACTATCCTAAATGGAATACCAATCTTGCTTGATGTAACAGATAAAAAGAAATACAATGGAAGCAAAGGACTAGAATTGAATTCTGGTTAGAAGCAGTGGGCTGCCTGAGCTCTGGACCTGAGCTCTGTTCTTTCTTGGTTAAAGGGAGATCAATAATTTTAAATTACACTTAAAGTACAAACAAACAGTGTTTACTCCGTACAGGTACTGTTCTGAGTGCTTTTCAAATACTAACTTGTTTAATCCTCACAGTGACTTTTATGTAAGTGCTATTATGGTCCTAATTTTTACAGATAAGGAAACGGAGTCACTGGTAACTTGTTACATAACCTCTACATTCCCAGTTACCCCTTGTAACAAAGTGTTAGGGAGGCATGAAAGACACAGCACAAGGCTGAACCTTTTCTTGATCTCATCTATGAGACATCAAGACTGGACTTTTCTAGCCAGTTCAGCTGCTGCTGTGAGAGGGCCTGTCTTTGTGATCTCTTGAAATCACCAGTGTGACACTTCTTCCCTCAAGGAGGCGCTATCCTGACAGTCATCAACCCACAGGGGAGGCAGAAAACACAAGAGAGACACACGTGAGGCTTGCCTGCCACTCAGCTGAGGGGTTCAGGGGAAAGGCACTTCAGGGGACAGCACTCACCTGCCAGGAGGATGAACAGGCTCAGGGCCACTTGTTGCATGATGGAGTGCTGGCCTGGAGGGGTGCAGGGGAGGGCCAAGCTTTAGCAGGGATGCCAATGGGGCCTCTGGTTCCCAATCCCCTCCTCCTCCACACCCGACCCAGGGTACACAGTATACCCCAGAGCAGAAAGGCTGACATTGAAGGCTGAGAGACAAGGAGCTGAAAAGTGCAGTGGGGGCTAGGTGAGAACTCAGAGGGAGCCGCAGTAATAACTGACTGGACATAGACATGAGGTATGAAGTCCTGGCAACCAAATGAGAGGGAAGCTGCCTGCAGTTAACCCCATTTTATAGATTGAGAAACCAGGGCTCCAATAAGTACCTTGCCATAACTGGGATTTAAACCACGCCTGTCTCTACAGCAACTGCCCCTGATTCAGGAAGGACTCTCAGGGCCTCAGGGTGTTTTGGGAAATGGGGTGTTAGAAGGCAGGTGGCAGAAAGCCTGGTTCCTGGGAGTGTCTCCTATAGACAACTGAGAGCCTGTCTGCCTTGCCTAGACTCTGCAGACCTCAGGCTGCTCAGGAAAGCATGTGGGGGAGAGAACACAAGGCTGGGGTGGTGAGAGGGCAGACTTGGGAGAAGAATTGGCCTGGCTGCAACCCCAACCTCATCTTTTGTGCCACCCTGACCCCTGGCCCCCATTTCTGCCCCACCTCTGCCCATCCCACCTCAGTACCTGGTTCTGTTTCTACCCCAGTTTCAGGCGCTGCTCTAATCCATCCCCTGCCGAGCTCCTCCTGGTGACAAACTCTTCCTTCTTCCTCAGGGAGCCCTGCTCAGCATGAAGAGGACTCCTCCGTCCTCCCCAGGTCAGGGTTAGTCCACCCTTCCACCATCATCTGTGCCTGGGATAAGCACCTGGTCTCTGTGCATCCCCCTAGATCCACAGGACCCCACTCTCCCTGCTCTCTCCCTGCCCCTGCCCCTGCCCCATGGCCACAAGCATATGTTGTCATAACCTTAGCAAGAGCTTACACCTGCTCTGATCTACCCCACACTGGGCACTGCCAAATGCCCCTCCTGGGATTTCACTCATTTAATCCCCAACAACCCTGGAGGTCATCTGTTATATATTCTCTTTAATGATATTCCCTTTAATATATGTCCTTCCCAACCCTAATAATAAGCCCATTTGAGCCCTGGCTGGTGTGGCTCAGTGGACTGAGCACCAGCCTATGGACCAAAAGGTCACCAGTTTGACTCCCAATCAGGGCATGTGCCTGGGTTGCTGGCCAGGTCCCCAGCTGGGGGCATGTGAGAGGCAGCCAATCAATGTTTCTCTGGCACATCAATGTGTCTTTCCCTCTATTTCTCTGTCATTTCCCCTCTCTCTAAAAATAAATAAAATCTTAAAAAAATAAAATAAAATCTTTTAAAAAAAAGCTCATTTGACAGCCCCTGCTATGTCCTTGCAGGGACCCATGTCCACAGGTGGGGAGAACACCCCCCACCTCTCTCTCTCTGTTCCCTCCATGAAACACCCACCCAAGTTGGTTTCTGTTTCAGGGAGAGGACCTGTAGTTTGGGGGAGCATTACTATGGTATTTAGAAACTCACAAAGTTTAGGGGCAGTCTGGACTGGGTGTGTGGGCCCAGCAGCCCAAAGGCTCTGGGCTCAGGTCTGTCGAAGCTCTGCTGTTGTTGAAAACTGCCTCCTGAGGCTGTGTTGCCCTGAGACTCTACTAGTACTAGTAATAGAGCTTGGGCTTATTGAGTGTTCAACCCATGGCAGGTGCTGGTCTCAGCTCTGTGCACTTCTTCACACATACAATCTTCCCAGCTTGATGAAGTTGGAACTATGATTAACCCACGGTGCTGTTGCAACGCAGTAACCCCTGCAAACTAAGCTTAATACACTTATACTGTTACCCGAAACTCAGAGTCTCAGCTCTTAAGCCACTTTCCCTGGGATCCTCCAAGTCCCCTGCCCACTGACAGGCCTTTGTTACTCCCCCCCTCTGAGGTGTCTGTCACCCAGCACCCCCAGCTCAGGGGAGACGGATGGCTGGCTCAGCTGTGCTCCAGCCTCTACACAGCATTCTCAGCCTGGCTCTTCCTGTGGGGCAGGCTGCTGGGAGCTGTTCTGCCCTCCTCTTTTCCTCTCAGGCCCTTGTTGGAAGAGGCTCTGAGCTGCTCCCAAACTGATAGTCGGTGTAAGACTTGAAGAGGAAGGCGGCTTGCAGGAGGAGGCTCTCCTCACCCCTTTCCTCTCCTGTCTCTGCCACCTGCCCTCTGCTCTCCCCTCTGTTCTCCATGATGGTGGCCAGGCCTTTCGGGCAGGCAGAATGACTTCCCATTCCCCCGAAATCAACTCCCTACTTTACAGATCCTTAGGAACCAGCTTTTCTGAGATCTATAGGACCCCACTCCCTCGACACTCTGAGTCTACCCGATCATCTTCCATCTGCTAATACCCCCAACCACCTATGGTCCACTTAGATACCCCCATTCACCCAGGTACTCCCAACCCACTTTTGTTTACCCAGATACCCCTGTTACTCCAGATACCCCCATCCCACCTGTGGACCTTTTCCTCACCTCAGCTGGCCACCCAGCCCCTGAGAGGAGAATGATGGGAGGAGGATCTCATTAGGGGCTTTCACTAATCTTCTGCCCACTCCCCAGAAAAGGGCCTTGAAGGGGGAAGGTTCTAGGGTCTTTAAAAGAGAGCAGTGGAGGGAAGGGGGCCCAAACTCTTACCTGTGTGGCTCCCCAGGCCGTGCGAAGGTTCCAGGTTCCGCCTGAGCTCTACTTTTATTGGCAGTTGCCACGCCTTAAGCAAACCTGGGCAAAGCTGGGCAGGTAGAGAACAAGTCAGACTCCCTAAAGCACAGGGGCTCTCATCCCATTCCTGCTCTTAAAGAGACAGTTCCTGCTGCCAACCCCACTAGTGACAGGAAGCTCCCTGGGGTCCAAGGTCACAGCAGCCTCAGGTGAGGTTCAATGAGAATAAGATGGGCTGGAACTCACCCCTCATCTCTGACGTTAGAGGAGGGGGCTTCCTCCAATGGGGCCTCTCCTGCCCCTTAGAAAAGGACCTGGAAGGAAGAAGTCTGGCAGTCCGGTGGAAGAGTGGAGGAGGGCTATCCAGGGATGTAATATCCTAACTTCTTTTACTTAGACTGTGTGTTGTGCTTGGAGGAGGGATTGATTGGCAGCAATTATGGGAGATCTAACATCCTCTTCCTGGCCACTTATTGCTGTTGACTTGGTCTGAGGGTCAACAGAAGATGCTGACATGACCAAGGTCCTAAAGTGAGGGTGGAGCTGTTAGGCCTTAGACCATGGCCCCTTCCTTTCCTGTCATCCACATTTTGCCCTAGAGAGACTGGGAACTGGCTCCTGAGCACCAGGTCAGACCTCCTTAACTCAGGCTCTTACCAAGAGTGCTAGGAGCCTGGGACTTCCCAGTGGGCCTTGGGATGGGGGGCTGCCTCTCACTCCGCACAGGGCCCACTGCACTGTGCATGGCTCCTTTCCTTTCCCTTCTCCCTCTCCCACCCCTCCTCCTCCTCATAGCATTCCTTCTGGCTGGGGTCTGTGCAGGCCCCCACACGGTCCCTGTTGGGGTGCACCCTCCCCCCGAATTCTGCCTTTTGAGACAGAGAGACTTTTGTCTGGGGGCTGGATGTAGAACAAGGCGCCTTTGAGTGGCTGGCGGAGGATTGGGGTCATGGGGAGGGGCAGGGCCAGGAAAGGGTGGCTCTGTGCTGGCCACCAGCTGGACTCCAGGCGACCCCCAACACCACCACAGGGGTGGAGAGGAAGGCTGCAGGAACCAGGCCAAGGAGAGGGTACTATCAGGAGGGTGGAGTGCAAGACAGGGAAAGGGGTTTTGGAGGTCAAGCCTCTGCTGGGGGCTGTCTGCTGGGGGCAGGAGAACAGGATCCTCCCTCCCCTTCTCAGTAGAGAGGCAGGAAGTTCACCCAGCTACCTGGCTTTCTTTATGTGACTCCCTCAGGCAACTTCTCAATCCCAGGCCCTAGCCTGGGACAAGGCCTCCTGCTAATCCCATTCAAAAGGGGCCAATCCCTGCACTCAGAGGTGGGGCTCAGTCAAAGCAGGGGAAATTGGGGGAGAGAGTAGGGTGGAGATAGAAACAGAAGAAAAGGAGGCCTGATGGGGATTCCAGTACAGCGAAGGGCTCTTTGTGTCTGGGCAGGTAGCATCTCTTGCCCAGACAGTTCGAGATTGTAATGTCCCTGGGAAGACCGCCTTGGTGGTCTTCTGGGAGTGGAGTGGTGTCTCCCTCTGCTGGGAAGTCTGAAAACTACAAGCATCAGAGAACAATAAAGGTTGAGTGGGCAGTGGCTGAGAAGAAGGCGGGCTGTGTCCTTCACCTGTGCCCCAGTCTGCGAACTCAGATTCTAAAGGGAGCAGCAGGCAGTAATCATGAACTCGTGCAACAGAAGGGGCGTGAGATTATAAGGTACAGCGGCAACTGGGAAAAGAGGAGAACTATTGTCCCGCCTAAAGGGTAGCCACCAAAAAGACTGGAGCAAGCTCACATGGATAGGGAGAAGTACTTCCCAGATAACTTGTTAAGGGAAAAAAGCAAGATGTAGCGAAGTGTGCTACCAGTTGTGATGGGAATTAATGTATATGCATATACTTATATATGAATAAAATATTATTGCTTCTGGGGAGGGGAATGGGAGACTGTAGGATGAGGTGGAAGGGACACACTCGCGTATCCTGAAAAAGTACTACCTTCGACAGAAGTTTAATTAAAAAATTAAAGGATAGACTTTACACAGTTTCAGCCAATTACTACTATATTTTCAATAGTTATTTTAATTCTGAATAAACATTCAGAAACCTGAATGTTTATGTGGAGTTTCCAATATTAAAAGTTGAATCAGGTTATTTTAAAAGTTATGCAGGTCAAACAGAACACATCTGAGGGCCAGTTTCAGTCTGGAAGACCACCAATTAGAGACCTTGTCAGCTTCATTTCCTGAACCTACTTTTAAAATATTTTCACCCAAGGATATGCTTATTTACTTTAGAGGAAGAGTGGAAGGGAGAAAAAGAGAGAGGGAGAGAAACATCAATGTGAGACACAAACATCAGAGGAACATCGATTGCTTGCCTCCTACATGCCCCAACCGGAGACCTAACCCACAACCCAGGCATGTGCCCTGACTGAGAATCAAACCCAAGACCTTTCAGTTTGTGGGACGATGCTCCAATCAACTGAGCCACACCAGCCAGGGCTCCTGAATCTATAATTACTGTGGTTTTGCATTTGGATATTCAGGTGCTAATGGGACTTATACCCAACCCAGGTCAACCATAGCTTTCTCTAGGGGCTGGACTGGAATGTGCCACAACCAAGAGTGAGCTGGGCTCAGGCTGGGGCTTATGCTGGGAGGGGTAGGACCAGAGCCCCCACCCCATGTATGGGTGAAGGTGTTCATACTGGGATCTCTGGGAGGGTCTTCAGGGAGTCAGGTGAGTGCAGTCCCTTATACCGTATCAGGGGTTGGATCTCTTTCAGGGTGAGTTCTCTAAGTTGGTTTGACTTTAGTTTTATTGAAGTATGTCCACTTGTTTATTTATATACATGTTTATATATAAATATGTTATATATATTTATTATATTGTATATGTAATAATGTTAAACTAGTTCCTCTTCATTTTACTTTTTAAATCCTTTGGCAGTGAAGAACCTCCTGAAGCTGTGATTGGCTGTAGTTTCTCAGTGTCCTGGGAATCCTTTCTAAATGAGAAAAATCAAACCCACAGATAGTTTCTGAACATCACAAAGTTTTCAGGATGGTTGAATAAAAATACAAAAGCAAGACCATAGGGCAGGGGTGTCAATCTCATTTTCACCAGGGGCCACATAAGCCTCACAGTTGTCTTCAAAGGGCCAAATGTAATTTTAGGACTGTAAAAATGTAACTACTCTTTAACTAGGGGCAAGGAGCTTGGCGCTGCCACCAGATAAAACAAGGTGCCAGGCTGGATAAAACCAGGTGGGGGCCGGATGAAACCAGTTGGAAGCTGGGTTCACCCGCGGGCTGTGTGTTTGCCATCTGTGCCGTAAGGTGTTTTGTAGTCACTGAATCAAAGTTATATTAATTTTGGTTTTTAATATTCAAGGGCAATATTTTTAATTTCATTTTTTTAGTTCCTCACCTGAAGTATGTTGATGTTTATTGATTTTTTTAAGAGTTAGAGGAAGGGAGAGAGAGAGAGAAGCATCTATGTGAGAGAGAAACATGGATCAGCTGCCTCCTGTACACGTCCCAACGGGGATTGAACCTGAAACCTGGGTATGTGCTCTCTTCCAAGATCTTTGGTGATCAAACTCACAGCTTTTGGTCTACAGGACAACACTCCAACCAACTAAGCCACTTGGCCAGGGCTATTGTTCTTTTAAAGCTATGAATGTTTCCATGTGTTACAGAATGGACCAGCGGGGGTGGGGGGAAAATACTATTACCAAATGGACCCCCCTTCTCCTGGGGTCCCCCTGTACTAGGTTTGCCTTGCCTACCACGAGGGAATTATAGCTTTCAATGTCAGAGATTGGTGAAAAGGAAAGAAATTATTTATTCAAAAGTTATACAGACTTATAGTAATGACTTAATGTCTTCATTAAAATCCTGAAGTCCCTTAAAACACCCATAAACACACACAGTCCTTTCTTCCCCTCTTTGCCTGGTCTGGGGTACTGTATCTCAGGAAAAGAAATATAAGTCCGTGGCTCAGGCTGCCCTCATTTCTTCCCAGTGATCCGTGCTCAGCTGGCAGGCCTCCCAAGGTTCCCAGCACCATCAGCTGTATCGCTGGGATCTCCAGTTCTCAATCCAAACCCACATGGCACCTTCTCCTGCCCACCAGCAAGAGTCCTTTCACCCCTCTCCTTCCCACAGTGTCTCCTGCATTCCTCCAAACTGGTAAGAGAGAGCTCTGCATCGCTGCTACATCTTGCTTCCCAGCTTCCTAAGCTGCGTGGCAAAGGGAGCCCCAAAGCTGTGCGGTTCCCCCTCTGCATGGCTGTCGCCCCTGGGTTTAAACCCCAGTGCTAATCTTCTTCCGCAGCCCCATTTCCCACTCCTCCCACAATCGGCTACACCTGCCAGCATTCCCATATATTTTCAGCTTTTCTGGGCTAACTGGTGAGTTGGGGCAGGTGTGGCCCTGGGGCAAGAAGTGAGTCATCTGTAAGCACTCACACAGGCACAGTAACGGGGGAGTTGCCTCCCAGTTACAACTTGAATGGAGGTCACTCCCATCTCCCTGGCTCAAAGTGTGGCCACAGCTATTTAACGTATCTGTAAAACCAGTCTTTTGACTTTTGTCAAAGATGTTAAATGACCATGCCTGAGGTTATTTGCAAAACTGTTGCTATGCGGAATGACTCTCAATGGCCCTGCTCCATGTGTCCCATCCCTCAGTTCAGACTCGTGGGGGTGAGAACATTCTATATATATTTTAATATTTCCTGGACACCCCAAGTTCTGGACCCCATTACAAATCCCTCTTTATGGGGCCCCCTGGCTGCACCCTGTTATACACAGTTTCCTGGTAATTTCATAGGCCCTAGATGGGCCTGGCTGGAGTGTGGGAGCCAGAGTCACCCTGGCCCATGAGAGGGGATCTGGTTGGGCCAGTCCCCACCTTCCCAGCTGGAGACTGAGAGTCCAGGTTGGTGGGTTGGGGAGGTGTGGTTACAGCAATACTCCAAGTTCCTACTTCCTGGGCAAGACAGGAACAGAGAGATCCGTGGGCAGACAAGCATGGCCTCCTGGGGTTCTGGGACCACTCCCTGTGGCGTCTGTATTCAGCACCTGTGAAAGAAGACTGGGTGCTGGTGTTGACGGAGGAGACCTGGCTCTTCTTGCTGACATGTGCAAAGAATTACAGATCAGCACATCCCTTAGTGTGTAATCAGTTTATTAGTGACCTGTTCCCATGGAAGAGAACAGGACTAGGTAGAGTGAGGGGGTGAAAAGCAAAGTTTCCAGGGCAAAGCAGGGTAGGAAATGTAAGAGCCGCTGAAGACCAGGGTGGCAAGCCTCTGGGCAACCTGAGGCCAGGTAGCCTGGGAGTCAAGATCACCTCAAGCCTGAGAGAGAGAGAGAGAGAGAGAGAGAGAGAGAG